TGTTTATATGTGTAAGCAGCTTTTGTTTTTCACTCCACAGTGTTTCTCCTCTTTGATGGAAACTCCAGATAAAACTTGCTACTTAGATACTTGAAGGTTTTCTCTATATATCTATATGTTGATCGTGCTTCCCGAGAAATATAAGAATTATAATGGTGGAAGCGCGCTGCGCGTGAAAAATATAACTTTTTCAATGCTACAGCGCTATAAGAAGGCGTTTTCAAAAAAGCACTTTCCGGGAATTATGCTTGCGAATGACTGCTAACATTCGTATGAAAAGTTCTTAGCCAGAGAAAAAGGTCCATTAACGAATTCGTGCTTGGTATCGCAAATGAACCAATATTTATCCCAGCAAAACGATTATCTTCTTTTGTGGTGATAGACCAAGGTCTCTTCCTATTTTGCTAGGTTATAAACTTCGAAAGTTCTCTAGTAATCAAGAATAATCGGCAGTTATTAGGAGAAAGTCATCATCGCAGGAGAAGGGCTTATAAAGTTCAATTTTCTAAGTAGTAATTTTTCATTTCTTCATTTCTAATTTTAAGAAGGAGCGTGACTACTGCATGGAGTAATAGTTTGCAAGAAATACTGGAATACATATATACGTAGCAAATTCTTTCTGAATTCTTCCAGCAATATGTTTGTTAAGAAAAAAATGGTTTCACAGGACTTGTAATAGTAGGAAAGTTTACTTCCAAATGTATGGAACATAGGCTATTTTACAATTCTGTGATGTTCTCAATCTCATATCTGTTCCTCGTCTCCTTCATCGTTTGATACAGTTCACAGGAAAAAAAGGCGATAGTCTCGACCAGTTTACTTAACGGCCGATTGAAGTTTGATTCGTCCGCTATCGATACGATTATGAATCCACATAAATAAATTATCTCTGATAAGTGGCTGTTCCTTCCTTTAGAATCGTTGCCATAAATCACAGTTAGAGTATGGAAAGCGATCAAGAAGATATTCAAAAATGCCAAAGTATCCCGAAATAATTATATGCAGTAAAAATAGCAAACTAAGCTTCACTGTATTCGATTATATTTATGTAAACGACAATTTCCATCAGAGCAAACTTATGTGGATTGGGACACATCCGTACCCAGTAGTCCTAAAAGATTGTCGTTTAAGTCAAGAATCCTACGTCATAGGATGCTTGACGAGTACATGCTTTGGAAATGCAAACGGCTTAGCAAAAACGCTTTTTTGAAGGGCGTTTCGCAACAGAAAAATACAAAATTTTGGAGAAAGACAATAAATTGGACAACTGCATGCTGTATGACCTCAGTGTGGGCTTCATGAGGCAAAATTCACCAGTGTCAAGTTTTTTACCATTGTAGACGTCAACGTATTTAAATACACGACAAGAATCGACTGCTAAGTCCTAGTGTATACAGTGAAAGAATGTCGGAGAAATTTATACAAGCATAACGTAGCATCCCCTGCTAGCTAATACTGTTATGTGAAGATTTCAGTTGTTATTGAGAACGTAGAATGTGATTATCAAAGTTATCATAATTCATAATGCTGATGAGTTTTCAAGCAGTATGAGAATGGTTCATTTTCATTGAACAACATCATTACACAGCCGTGCCACCGTTCTCATGGGTTATTCTTTCTCTCGTTTTGCACACTTGAAGTAATAAAAAAAATAAATTGAATTGTTTTAGCATCAGAGTCAGGTCCTGTCCATATACCAAGAGGAGAAGTAATTAGTAAACGTTGGAGGATCTTAAAAAAGTTGGGTGAAGGTGGCTGTGGAGCAGTGTACAAAGTAGAGAATATTCACACAAAAGAAGAGGTATGAGCTGCAATCTGTTAAACCAGCATAGACGAATATGAGGAATTTTTAATTGTTTGAATCGTACCACTACAAAAGTTCTCATACAAATGCTAAATCAATTTTAAAGGGCAATTTAACACGCTTAGTTTCACGTTGATTTCTCGCGCGGCAGACGGCGCATTCATTCTATAACTCAGGCGTTGCAATGATATTATGGTAAATTTACTAGTGAAATCTAGACTAGTATTGCCACTAGAAATGTTTAATTATCATTAAATGGTAGAATACGGTAAAAGATACCCCAGTAAGGCTACGGAAGGTAGAAACACGCCGATGCTCTCCCTCTGACCGCGAATTGTGAAAGGGAAACCAAATGCTTGCAAAAAGCTTATTTCAAGCTGCTACCAAACATTTCTTTGTTATCTTATTCATATTCACTCATATTTTGATCATGTTAATCTTTCAATTCGTATGTCATCAACAACCCGTTTTCATACATACACGTGCAAAATAAATAATCAACCGATCGAATTATCATTTGTGCTTATAAAATCGAATATCGCAGCTTGAATCTTCCAGTTTATATAGGCTCTCAATTCAACTACTGCAGAAAAGTCATAAACGTAACCGAAAACTACAAGAGAAGAAATGTCATGACTTTCGTTCCGATTGTTTCTTTGAATCACGCTCAAATTCCAATACGCCAAAATTTTTGAGCCATGCATGTGGTCTGTTATAAGCACTTGTATAATGCTATACATATGTTTCGGTCATGCACAGTCTCGTCAATAGCACAGTGCCTTTCGTCTTAGCCAATCCTCTCGGCGAACACAGAAGGCGCAGCCCATAAGAGACCACATGCATGGCTCAAAAATAACTATAGAGCATATTGAAATCTGAGCGTGGTTTAGAGAAACACTTGAAACGAGCCGCATGATATAGTTGACGATGCCAGCCAACAATCAAGTGTACAACACTGCCCATCCAGTGATTTTTCACTAAATGGAAACTCTAAATAAGACGTCTGCTCTTTCTCTATGTAAGGGTCCCGAGAGTATTGGCTGACGAAAAGCAGTGTGCTACTGACGAGGCTGTGCAAGGCCGAAAAACATGTATAGCACTGTATAAGTGTCCATAATAGACCACATGCATGACGCTAAAATAATCATAAGACAAGGAATAATCTGAGAAAAATGATGCTCATTACTGCATGCGATGTCACATGTTCGAAAGCTCTAGGAAGTTCCATGATCAATAGTGTACTTTTAGAGTTTGAACCTCTGTTGAATTATAGGAGAAACTTTGTTCTACATTTTTATGGGTACTAAATCTTCATTAATCTTTTATCTTGCACTATGAGCATATTTAATGGCTACGAGTCTGACACTGAACATGCGCGTCGATTTTGCACTTTTTACATAATTCTTGCTAGTTGGATGTCCTCAAGACGATTTTCGTTATCCTGCTTAGTTGGCACTTTTCTAAACACTCCAATATGACCATGTGCCAATGATTATGGGCTCCCAGTGGTACACCATTGGCGTCTTGATCCAATTCGCTGCACCCGAAGGGTATGCTCCTCTACTTATGTTGAAATTTTACGCAAGAAAGGCCAGCTTTCTGTAAGCCATTGCAAATCTATTAATAATATAAGTTGCGAGAAAGATCATGCTTGAGGAGGTATCTCAAGAAAGAGATTTTGTGCCTACGATTCAAAACTAGCAATTCTGCTTGATTACATTTTGGTCAACAGTGGCAACAAGAAGTTGCCGCTGATGAAGCTGATATCACTATGAATATAATGTCCTCGTCACAGATAATAGCTCTCGAGTAGTGACTTATCGATGAAAAAAAATATAGTTCAGCAGATATAAGGCAATCCATGAGTTCTTGAGAAAAAAAAAGCTGTCACTTAGAACTTCACCCTTCAATGAGCGACGAGTATTAGCGAGTGTTCATCTGATGTATGAGAGCTGATCGTAGAACAAACAATTATAAAAATGATAGATGGGAGAGGGCGTTTTTCTCTCACAAAATAAGGTACATGAAAGCGCAATTAAAGCTCAAAATATGTTTATTTTTTAAGGATGTAGTCTACCTCTTGGAATATACGGATTATTAGGACGCAAAGCCTTTCTACTATCTAGAAATTTTTTTTATTCAATCCGCCATCACAGTGTTTTTTTTTTTCGCTGCGCGGATCCCAGTACTTCTAGCATTCAATTTGATGTTCGTCTTCTTCCTGAACGGCGTAAAATACTATTTGAGCGGGTCTTCTTGCAATCTCGAGGATAGCCTTATTGTGGCATTCCATAGGACGTTGTTGTTAAGTGCCGAAGAGAAGAGGGGAGGAATGGAGCTCTGTTCCACGCCCGCCGTGATCAACATCATAACCACTCGGCCACATCGCCCCCATTATCCAGTGGCTCCAAAAAAATCTTTTTGTTGATACTTCATCTTTTCGTGAAAATGGAGGTCAATCTTTTCGTCAACATAAAGTGCTCATAGCATCTAAACTTCACTATATATCTGCTAAAAGCACCCGCTATGAAGTGCGAACAACGAGCCGACCACCCTAAAAGCGAGGCGTATTTTTCTCTCGCTAATGATTGCACTAAAAAAAGTCTTTCGAAATGGTAACTGCAGTTCATCATATGGGCCAAATATGAGCTAATTCACCATCAAGACGTTGCTATTGAAGTGGCATGCTTGATGGACCGCTCCATGATCACAAAAAGCCAAACGCTTTGGATTTTTCACCTCATCTTCTCGTGTCTCATTCATCCCTCTACTCCTCTCACTCAAGCAACCTTATCTCTTTATTTTTGCGTCTTATTTACTCATTCATCCATTATGCCTTCAAGCGCTCGATTTAGTTTTCATTAGTTTACATTACTCTACAAAAAATTTATCCACCTGCAGATGTGATCGAAAAGTAAAGGATATGAACATATTATTTATTTGCCTATTGGACACAAAAAGATCTAATTAACACCTATAACAGTCAGGAATCACAAATGCCTTAATGCTAGTGAAATTATCTCTATTCAAAGCTTGGCCAGGGTCAGTTTATCATCTTAATAATCGATGGCTCACACTTCGGCTACATCATCTTTGTCAAAGCCGAGAGATGATGTGTACGAGTCTTCAGCTGCACAAGCTTCAAATAAGGAGAAGTTTTAATATACTCAGTGATACAGAGTGATGTGCAGAACTTTGCGTCAGGCGGGAATCGAACCCATATTTCACCCTATCCAGAGGCGCGTGCTCGAGCCGTTACACTACCGACGCCTGTTTCAACACCACACTTTCTAGGCCACAACGAGAGGTATCAGGAGAGACGTCGGTAGTGCAACGGTTTGAGCACGGAATTCCGGATAGATTAAAATTTGAGTTCGAGTCCCTCCTGACTCAAAAGTTTTGCACATCACTCTACAGCACTGGGTACATTACAAACATCATGCCACCGCTAAAAGCGTAAAGAGAAAGAATTTTGTTCGGTCATCTAAAGATCAGTTTATTAGATATTTTTCTTTTTCGCTCTTTGTTCCAGATGCCAAGGTTGCATGAAAGCAAGCATTTTGATTCATTACATAATAGTAGTATTTCTGTCATATTCGGCTACGATACCAACCTCAAATCGACAAACCCGTTGAGCTCCAACTTTCGATCGTATATTTCGTTCACAATGCTACTAATGCTTTAGGCAGCATTGAAAGCAGAATCGAACTTTGTAACCGGTGGCAGCGTGCTGAAGTTAGAAGTACAGGTGCAAATATCTTCTGCATCACTGCTCTTCCATCACAAATGATGATTTATGTTTTTGCAGATTCTTCAACGACTTATTAACAGACCATACGTCGCTCAGCTGCTTCATTCGGGTAAACGAGAAACATATTGTTACGTTGTGATGACGTTATTAGGCGAAAGCCTCAGACACATCACTAAGTGAGTGAAGTCGTTGGTGGTTTTCGCTCTTCATTATGTGTTAGGCGGGAAATAAAATTCCCATTGTTTGGATGAGTATGTCGTTTTTTCGCATGAATTGTGTGTGATTTTCATATCATTTGAGAGGTCCACTTCCTGCTTATCTATTGATATACAATTTGTCTACATCTGGTGCGGAATGAAATTGTCCAGGGAACAAAAGCTTTTGTTGATGCTTTACGAGCTGAAATTTGATTCAAATGCTGGCTGATGCTGCTCGCCGAATCAACACAGCCTGGAGTAACCGTACGGTTGGAGAACCAACATTCCGCGAGCAATTTCGTGAGTTCAAAGCCGGAATTGAAGAGTTGACCGACAGAGCGAAATCCGGACGACCAACCAAGCTCGATGATGAATACTTGATTTCTGGTTTGAAAAGTGAGCCGGCATCAAGTTCACGTGAATTAGCAGCAGAACTAGACGTTTCTCGTACAACCGTAGAAACTCATCTCCATCGGCTTGACTTTGTCCACAAGAAGCCAAGACAGTATCCACACGAACTTACCGAAGCACAAACCGATCGATGCATCACTTTCTAGAAGGTCGCCAATTCGAATCTTTCGATGAAGTTGAAGCATGTCAAGAGTTCTTTGATTCAAAGCTGAAGGAGTGGCATTTCGGTCAGATTCGAAACCTGGCAAACCGATGGCAAAAGGTGGTGGATAATGATGGCCTGTATTTTGGAGAATAGTTGTTGTTGTTTGTTGTGTTAAGATTTGCATAAATTTTGGATGTTTTATCAAACGATGGAAACTTTCTTTCCAACCTAGTATTACATCGAGCTTAATTCTTCTTTTTTTTAATAATTGCTTCAGACGACTTGGGAGAATTTTCACCGTTTCTTCTCAAGTGAGAATTGGTATCAATGTCCTGTTCGGCCTAAAACAAATTCATGATGTTCGTTGTCTTTTTTTTCTCATGCAGCAACTTTTTTCATTGAAGAAATCGAAACGGCATCTCAAAAAGTAGGGCTGAGAATGGACTGCTCATAAATCAACTAAATATTGAAAGGTATAGAAAAACAATGAGAGCATATAGTTGCATTTTTAAACAGTATTACACAGGCAGTGGCATCAGGTTCAAAAGTGCTCAAAGGCCTCTATCTGTGGCATTCCCTTTATGATCAACGCATTAATTTTGATGTGTATGTCGCTGTTGTTTCGAACGGCATCTTGATTTCAGTGCGCACTGTTTCGTCATTCCTAATTTCCCAAGCAGAGCCTTTTGGCCATACTTTGCAGTCAGTCAAAAACATTTCAAACACAGCAGTTACATGGGCAGGTATTCTGAATGAAGTATTCCTGCAAAAAAGCGTTTTCTAATGGTGGAGTAGAAACAGTGCATTGTTAAATATGGAAAATCAAGAGAAGTACTTTTAGCTGTCACGTAAAACTGCAAGTACGGTCAGTAACACTTAGGGGTTCTTTTCCATTCGATAGCAAATATTTTCAGGCCAGTTCCTACGCTGGCAAACAAATTTTCATAAAGAGTGTTAATAATCGTTCGAAAGCATAACAAGCTAGCGCTGTACCTAGATGCTTTTTTAGAAGACCCTTTTATAAAACTGAAATATTCAAAATGAAATTATGTTTCGCATCGGCAGCGCATTCAACTATCACTTCACAGGATGGCCGAAAAGATTATGACTTATGCAGAAAATCTTCCAGTATCGGTGTCAGACGATCAATCCAAAGTTTCTCTGAAGCGGAAAAATAATTTGTGATCAAATACACCTTACGTAGGCGCCATCTAACAATATTTGCGCCAAAGCCTCTCCCGTCTCCTTCCCCACGCCACCGCCCTTGAATTGGCTAAAAAACACTTGCTCGCGCGTGTGAATCAGTATTATTTTCTCTGCTCTGTTGCAGAATAGTGGCCTTTTCAGAATACAAGCAAAGCGGAATCGGTAAATTTTACGCTATTGAATGATTAGTGTTAGTCTAAAGAAAGAGTTCACGGCAAGAGATATGCCCGTGTAAAGTATATATTCATTTTGAATTTTCCAAAATTATAAAAATATCTTCTCAAAAACGACCACACACAGCGTCAGCTTAAGATATAAGTTTTTGAATGATTACAAATACCCTTTGTGAACACTTGTCCAGCGTAAGTGATAGGCTTGAAAATCTGTGCTATCAAGCGGAAAAATGCCCACATGGTGATGGACGGAGTTTTTCTCCAATGGCGCACAAGAGGCATGCAAAAATTCAGCAATTTACACATAAGAACCCCAAAAAAACTTGGGAGCTCAAAAGAGACAGGAAAAATATATCGGAGGACCTAATAAAAGGACGATGATCTTACGAAGCCGATGCACCGTGCGTTTTGCATGTACTCTCAGGTCGTTCAACTAAAACTCCAAGCGCGTCTTGGTTACACTTCTCAATGACAGGTTGTTTGATGGACTTGAAAAGCGAAAATTGCTACGGCCGATGAAGAAGAAGAGTTAAATTAAGGGCAACAAATCTAGGTTGACCATTTTCACAAACTGCAGCTGAAATGAACAAAAATGCATTGTATTTCTTGCACATAATTTTCATTCACATATTGCACGTAAGATGAACAGAAATGAAAAGACGTCGACGAAATCCTCCAGCTTTCTGAATTATAAGAAATCCGTTTTTAACCGATATCTTAAAGAAAATAGTATTTGCTCTTCATGGGAAATTTTCTCTTCATAAATAAATTTGTAGATTGGCTTCATACATCGGGATATCAAGCCAGCTAATATGGCAGTAGGAAAATTTGGTACACCTGAATACAGATTTATCCATATTTTGGACTTTGGCTTGGCCAGGGAGTTTGTGGTTCCGAGCGCAGGTGGAAAACTGAAAATGAGACGACCACGTGCAAAAGCCCTTTTCAGGTATCATTTCAAAGAAGTGAAATTACAGGATATTTAATTCGCCACGCATGCGAGAATTATTGTTGTTCAGGGGCACCACCAGATATTGTTCAATTAGTACTCATGAGAAATGCGAACAGGGAAGAATGGATGACCTGTGGTGCTTGCTGTACATGCTAGCAGAATTGCGTGGACCTCTACCATGGGCAAATGCCAGGTCAAGATTCCTTGTCTGAGCCACGAGTTGATAAAATTTCAAACTAGCTCAACAGCAGCAATTCAATAAACATTTTAGGAAAACTTAGAAGTGACAAGTTTTTTAGTTATCAGTAACGAGTGGTAGATATTTATTAATGAAAAAGTGACATGAAGCTTCTGACGCAAAATTTTCTAAGATGAACTTGCGGAGAATTCTTAGTGATCTGTGATAGCTAAATCAGAGCTGCATATAAGGATTTAACATTGCCGGATTGCAAAAGTCCCTACGTAGTAGATCAATTAGTTTTTACATGTGCCATATGATGATTTTTGAACTACGCATGTCATGTGGTCTGTTAAATGGGCTGAGTTATGGAGCCCATACACGTGTTTCAACCTTGACGGTCTCCTCAGTCGGGCAGTTATCCTTCGTTTTTAGCCAATCCTCTCGGGGCGCTCAGTGTCCTATACTAAGAGTAGACCACGACGAACACGACAAGAAACGCTATGGTATGCTAATGATACCAGCCAAGAGCAATCGAATGTACATCACTGTATGTTCGGTGATAATTTCACCGGACATAGAGTCTACAATGTTTGTCGTCGCCTACTCTTTGTATAGGGGACAGAGCGCCCCGAGAGGATTGGCTAAAGACGAAGGGTAACTGCCCTACTGACGAGACCGTCATGGTCGAATCACGTGTATCGGGCTCTGCTACTCAGCCCATTTAATAGGCCACATAACATGCGTGGCTCAAAAATGATTATCTGGCATATTGAAGCTTGAGATGTGGTCTTAATAGAAGCACTTAAAAAAAGTCGCTTTTTACATACTTATTTAGCAATCAAATTGAGGCATCCTCATGCCTTGAGCGGTTCTTAGAACTTCTCCCAGTGATTTGGCAACACAGCTTGGAAGCCTGTCACCTTCTTAACTTAATTAAAAGATTGAATTCTAGTCGGGAGTTTTCCTGAAATCTCCAATAATCTTCTTTGAGCGTTTCCATGCATGCCATCAAATAGACCTAAACTCGTGCGAAACAGAGGAAAGCTTCCTGGTGTTCCTATGAACGTGAGAAAACCAGCAGTCAATCCAGCGTTCATTGCACAACACTTGTAATTACCTCGCCATTTGTTACGCTCATAACTGCAATGAGTATAGATTCTGACTGTCAAACTCTGGAATTTCAGCGACAAGAAGGAAGTCTATGAGATTAAGCGCAGAACGGAGATTGATATCGTATTGGAAAACTGCCCTGTACAGCTTATAAAATTTGCGGAACACATTAGGTGAGCCATATCACCTTGTAAACTGAGTCTTCCATGATTTTTTCAAGTCTTTTAGCAGCTTAAACTACTATATGCGACCAGACTATGCTCTGCTGTACGAGTTGCTCAGAGATGTTATGAAGGCGGGACGAATCAGGTGGGATTGTTGCACCCTACATAAGAAATTACCTTGAGATTCTACTTTAGAGATGTGTGTGTATTGCAAACTTTCTCAATGGTTTTAGAGAAAGTTCTAATTAGACAAATCTCGTTCCGAAAGGAGCAGTCAAACTTTCACAGTAGATTTATGAAGGTGGACCATCACAGCAATGTAATCATGGTTCAAAGACACAAGCTACTAGATTTAGATTTACTTTCCGACGCAGTTTGAGGATATATTAGCAAACATAGATGATATCTTGAAGGCCGTGAGCTATGCAGATGTTCCTCATCTCAACTCAATAGCGACGATTCACAAAACTTCTAAGGATTGGTCCTATCAGTTATATCGATTGATTTCCTCTGTAACCGAAAATCACCCAAGTACAGAACAAATATTTGTGTACCATTGTCGAGTATATGCTGACGATCTACCTTCACATTAGCTTTGATCAGGCCAAATATCTTTAAACGAGATAACATGAGTGCTGCACATAAGATTAGCGAAAAGAAATAAAAGCGAGCAAATGTTGATGGAGTAGTGAAACATGTTCGACATATTTTCTGTATTCTTAACTTTACGGTCTTCGAATTTGATATGTATGCAGCATAGTCCTGAAATCAATAAAAGTTCGGAGTGTAGCTACTCGAAGCTAATGAAAAGAAAAACCCTGAACTTAGGCGTAGGAACTAGTGCGGATTCATAAGTTACGACTCGTTTCTACTAATAGAACCAAAAGCAAGGCCTTCAATGAAAAGTATCATTTCGTTGATTAACCCAAGGTATCACGCTCTTATTTGTGCATCATAGTGGATTGAAATCTGGCAATTAGTCAAAACGTTCTTCAGCCATTACGAGAATTTGAAGACCATTTGAGAGTCGTTCGAAGATGTGTGAATAGGCATCTCTCAAGCAAAAAAAAATTTCAGTTATTCCGATCCGTACGATTGGGAGGAGCTCCCCCCAAGTGACGGCGGCGAGAATTCGAAAGGAACAAAGAGTGTAAAGAAAACGACCTGGTCGATGGCATTGTAAAGCAAAAAGTTTCTAATTTGAATAGTTGTAGGGAGTTTAAACTTCGATTGGTGAGCTTTTCAGTTCTGACGGCAATAAACCCTCACAATCAATGAGTGTTCCGAATTTTTCGACCGATAGAAGAGAAGAAGATATGGTGATTGACTTCATCGTTTCTCATTTAGAAATTCGACATTAATGGAAAGATTTCGCTTCAGATCTACCAGATAATCAATGAGAATAACCCGTTTCCTATAGAATTCTTTGCAAGAAATGCACTCGGATTTTGAAAGCGCTTGAATTCATTGCTCATTTTAGTTTCAGTACAGACATTTCTTTGCCTGAATTGTATCTTATGCATTTTTTTTCTCCATTCAGGATCCAGATGTTGAATACATCATTACATTAAGCGAAACATAGAAATTCATCATTGATAAATCCAACTGCCTATTCAACTTTTCTTATTTTAATTGTCGCTTTAAATTCCTTGCTAAATAGAGCTTTCTCTCCTAGAATTTCTCGATTCTGTCCTATGTTCCAAGGTTGCTAAAACCTATTCAGCTCAAATGCCTGTTACGAATTTCGATATACATTGTTGAGATCTAAGAAATAAAAATTTCTCAAGATAATATTAACAACAACTCGACTTATAGGCCTCTCTAATTAGAATATGACAGTCTCTGAAAAAATTTCATTTAATATACTACTTGATGATGATTTGGTGTTTATCTAGATGTGGCCGAAGATCAGGTCCACATACTATCTCTGTAGTATCACCTGTGAATACCAACAAGTCTACATTAGCGCAGTGACTGCTCAAGCCGAGCAGTGTGGAACGAAGTGATAACCCCAGAGCTCTCAAAACCCGCCTTCTACCTCCTTCGTTTGCAGTTTCTACTGCACTAAGTTGTCGCTTCGTTGTTGTAAGAAACTCTTCTAGTTGTTAAGACATAGTCGATCTAATCCTACTATATGGAAATCTCAGAAAATGGAGAACTGTGCTAGACATTCTCATTATCTCTATAAATAACACAATATCAATGATAAATCTGCACGTAACTTTGTTGCATCATGCTGATGTGAATAATGCTAATGACGGTCTAACTTTCTAGAACTGCGATACCCGTTGTGGAGACAACAAACAAAGAGACCGGCATAGTAAACAGAGAACAGATACAAACAAACAAGTTAACAAAACAAGCTCAGTGTCGAAATTAGCATTTTTCAAGCTATCTAATAATTACAGAAACATAGACAAATTAAGGAAAAATTCTTCAATAATAGCTGAAAACGAAATCCTTTTGCAGGGATAGGTTTTTCTCATGAGAACATTTAGAATATTTACGATACGTAGTCATTCTTTTCAGTAAAAATATTTCATAAGTGTTTACATTGTGATATTCTATCTTTTGCAACGATGGTGATCCTTCAACGCATAATCCTTACTGATGGGTCCCACTAATCCATACGAGAAAAGCTGAAGATCAATATTAGCATCAGAATTTTGGAGAATGAGCTAAATGACTATAAAAGCAGGGCGAAAAGCCAGCCACAGACCATAACTGAGCAAACAAAACAAATCGAATGTAAAACATATTTTTGTTTTGCTACTGCAGCGCATTAATAAAACCTTTCTGGAAAACTATTATTGAATATTTCAAGTTTTCGAATGAGTGCTGAAGAAACACAAGAAAAGATTTTTGTTCAACGATAAAAGTTTTCAAGCACTCGTGTAACAACACAGGTTTACCTCGTTCAGAAAAAGGTTAATTTTTGACGTGCTTGATTGGACGAGAAGTAGATACCACAGTTCTGTAGCACCACAGGTGATCCCTAAGCAGTAGTTGCCAGATGAACTCACGACGCTGTATTCTCACTGACTATGGTGTCTACCGGATTGCTCTTTCATTTTTAGCGTCGGAAATGCTTCGTTCATTGAGAAATCTTCAAATGAGAAAAATAATTTTCCTTTTGCTGTTACAGTGCAGTAATAAAGCCATTTTTAAAACAAAACAGACGGCTGAATTTTCTGAGATTTGGCAAACTAGATATTTGTCGGAACTCAAAAGAAAAGCAAAAGGCGCGTTTTCGCTCAACTTGATCGAAAATGTACAAAAGAGAACTGACTGATGAGCAAAAAATTAGGACTGAGGCAGGAGTTGAATCCGCGTTTCACCCATACCGAGTATGCTTACTACCACGGTATTACTGAGGCAACGTTTCACTACCACTGATTCTTCAGTTTTCATGTCATAGCTATCAGTCACCAATAGGTGGAGGCATTGATGAATGAGTGATAGCGAAGCGGTGTCTCGGTGGTGTAGTGGTAATACGCACCCCCGGTATGAGTGAAAAGCGAGTTCTACTCCCGCCTGAGACCGGATTTTTGCTCATCACTCAATTCTATTGGGTATGTTCGAACAATCATGACACTGCGAAAGAGCAGTAATTACGTAAGGAGTCTTGATAAAAGATAGAAGAGGATAGCGAAAGTGATCCAAATTTGCGACACTCAATCATCTTTTAGTTGTTACGGCGTGAACAAAAAGTTCTTCTTGAAAAAGATCATTGAATTTATCGAGATTTAGGCTATCGTATGGTCATTGAAGCTCTGAAGAAAAAGCTTCTCTTAGCGAGAAATGTTCTGAAGAGGAACATGACTATATTTTTGCTGTTACAGCGCATCAAAACGTCCATTGTGGGAAAAGTCAGCTTTCTTTTTATTTAATGAGAATCAAGCTATCGAATACCTTTGAATCTTGAAGACAATCAAAAATACACTTTTATTAAGGCTCTTAACTGGGAAGGGATAATAGATGATTCTCTTTTTCTTTCGGCTTGAACAGCTTATTGGTTGAACTTCGCAGCGAGTTTTGTTGACAGCCAAATCGTAAAAATTTGACTGTCAGGAAGCCTTGCCGCTACGGAATGTAAATTATTACTAAAGAGACTTCTACAAGCTCATGTCAGTAGAAGGGCGCTGGATTATTTTGAACATCCTTACTTTTCGATACGAAATCTATATCATAGGAATAATTCCGAATTTCCAACTTTTTCTTCACATTTCCTTCGACGATGTTTTGAGAAATATAGTACGAAAATGAATTTTCTACGGTGTATGATCTTTACTAGAAGCTTATATAAAACCTTTTCAAATGTTTTTATCAATAGCATCATGCTTTCCTTTCGTGACATGTTAGTTAATCATGAGCGCAGCTTCAACATTAGTTAATTCACTCCAACAAATTAACTATTGTAGCAAATACTTTGCAAATGAGTTTCTGTAATCTGAAGGACCAAATAATCCATCTGAGGTCAGAAAAAACTACTGTTTAGCAGAAAACGATGCTCTTTATACAGCACAAGTACTGTACAGGTTTCCCTATAAGCTGTCTATGAAGAACCATCGATTCAATTTTGTATATGGAGTCACTTAAAATTCTACTTGATCTACTCGGTTGAAATTATAACATCACTTTGATATAGCCCATCATTGATTTCCAATTTAGAGACGAGTGAATCAGGGCGCAATTTAGCATAAACTCCCAACTATTTGGAAATTGTGGCTGATAGATTCATTACATTTTTTTGTTTGAAAGGAGAGATTTACAATGTTCGTGTTTCTAGGTAAAGTTTGATGATAATTAATGATGTTCAGATATCGATATGTCATCTGAAGTTCTTTAAAATCCGTACTGATCCAATGAAAAGACCTCCGTGGGAAAAAGGTATTCGACGGTATCCTGAAAAATGGTTGCCGTAAATATTTCGACAGTGTTGGTTAAACTTGTGTGTGGGAACATGAGCGCGATTAACTAAATTCACTCAGCATGATTAGTAACATATATGCTCGAAACAGCACCGCTTAGCTGCCGAATTGCAAAATTCCAGTGTATTTCAAAAGAGAAGGGTTCGGGTAGGGCCACATTAGGAAATATGCCAAGTTATCCTGGCCTCTTGTCTGAGTCGGCTATTTGATATGAGTTGTTGGATATCCTCTCTCTATTTCAAAAATGCCGTTAATTTTCCAAGATAATGACTCAGGAAAGCTCAAGTACATGTCCAGCAGTGCCGTAACCACGCGAACGGTATTCAGCAGATTCTTTGACCAAGATGAGTCCAGATTAAAGCCGAATCCAACCCAGATCCGCATATTTGTGGACCACAGTATAATGTTAATGAGGTAAATGAAAGAAATACTGGAATCCGTACAAAGTACTATGTCGGAAAATGCAATTGAAGGGATAAAAAAATATTTACCAATGCATAGTCTGTTGATAATGGAGACACAGACCACGAAGAACCACTTGCTTGCTCGCTCTTTCTAAATATAAGCTTCCATTAGTTGCGATTTGAATGTTTTTTACAACCGTATTTTGATCAAAAATACTTGATTGCCATAATATTATTTGACGCTAATCTGATAGAATTGGAGAAGCATCTTACTCAACGGTAGGAATAGAAGTTTTTGAAATCTTCGATCGTGATCCTTTTTCTTCCCAGTCAAATGGATCGGAAAATCTAAGCGGAAGAACAAAAATATGGAGCTTTGAGTGTTTTTGTAAACACTGTATGCGAGATATCATATTATACGTGGCCAATAGCACTTTTTATGCAAGCTCTTCTCTTTCAGCATTTCTAAACTGTTGACATAAATCGATGGAGAAATTTTGTCCATCTTATACTATTCTAACTTCTTGATTTAGGTCTGGTACCTTTCAATGACGCCACAAATAAGGATGAGTCTTCACTTTTTCTTGTATAACTTCACTATACGGAACAAAATCTGTACAATTCAATCCGTCAAAGTAAGCATTGGAGCAAAATTGCAATCAAATGATATCTTTGTGAAGGCTTCATGAAACCAAAAACGCTTCCTGGACAAGGCACCTTACCTCATTCCACCCACATCCATCACTTTTTTGAGTGAATGATAAAGCAATAAGTAATCTGGACGTAGATAGTAGTTTAACGCGCTGGAACATTGTTTATATCATTTATCAAGATCACGTAAAGACTTCATTTTGTGAGGAGAGCATTAGGTGAACAATGAACAGTCAAGGCAGTAACTGTTATCGTTATTTGAACAAATCGTTCTTGAAGATTGCATCATGTTACGATTAGAAAATATTACAAAGCAGTATATATGTATGATTCCAATTCATCGATTGTTTTTGAAACCTCGCTGTAAACACTCAATATATACTGGTAGAATGTTTAAGACCTTAGCGAGGTTGGTACGCCAGAGCTAAACTTACGTTGCGAATTTAGTGCCCTATTTATCAGTGGCCCATGCCCCACACCGAACCACACACTCTCTAGCAGGAATGGGGAGGCATAGTCCATGATGATAACACATGATATTGTGATATCACCATTTTTTCCAGTCGATGGATCGCGGGTGGTAGTGAATGTGTATGAAGCAATCTCATCGACTATTTTCAAACTTCGCTGTAAACATTCAACATATCCTGTAATAATATTAAAGCGCTGCCGAGGTTGTTACCCTGATGAAGAGGTCGATACCTCCAAAACCTATCCATGGCTCTGGCGTCTTCTTACAGAATATATATAGAGAACTAAGTCTCAAACCGACATCCTGTAAACGTTGGCATTCTTCAATGATTCACAGATTTTTCTAAGTCGACACGAGGTTGTTGTAACACTATTAATTCAAAGAACTGACATTTCGGCGGTTTCGCCTTCTTCCGAGACAGAAGAGATAATGTTGTCCACAACTCAGTCACCCAGACACCTTCATTAGTTTAGCAGAAAGACCAAACGCAAACTTCAATCGAATTTGCAATTTTTTAAAATAACTTTGATGGGTGAATGAGTAGTAAACAGCTTTTTCTTTCCAGCTTCTGAAGAAAGCAAAATCGCCGGAACGTCAGCCATTCAAATGAGTCATATTTTGAAAAAAATCTTTCGTGTGGTTTACAAGAGAAAGTTTGCGTGTACGAAGGAGTTTTAGTAATAAGGCAAGGGAACAGCTTGCTGTTTTGGAATGTGGCCCTACGATAAGAAAGAGAAATGACTCAAATTAATGTTTTAATGTCAAGGTATCCTTGCTAGGATGGAATGCACTGCCAATAAGGTAGCATCAAATTCATAGGATTCCATCGAGAGGTCCATTGGAAAATTTTAAGCAAAGCTTGGTACCTTAAATGCTTAGCAAATACCATGAGTTCCTTTGGGCAGTTCTTAAGCAGCTCTTCCAACGCTATGTCCACCTTCATTCTTAGTACTCGGTCTTTGTCTCTGCGAAAATAGTGAGTCATTCTTCAAAATTAGATTATTAAATTACTGTCTAAAAAGTCTTTGTGGTGTGCACACCAGTTATTGCGAAATCAGTGCTTTTCTTTAATATACACAAGCACGTGCAATTAGAGGCTGATGAGTGCAACAAAAGCGAGTAGATGTCTAATATTCTGTAGTGAGAGAATATTATTCTATCAGCTCTTTGAACTAATGTAGAAAGTAAATTACAGCACATTCGTCCAGGGTCAAGCGACCTCTGAGCTCGACCATGACATACAGCAAACACCAGAGGTCGTCCATTCGACCTTGCTCGCATCGCTGGTGCACGTTTGCCGAACAGTACCGTAGAGTTCCCCTGCATTCATTCTTTTGTAGGCAGTATCAGTCAAAAATAAGCTAAGTATCTAACACACTATTTTCAGCTCACGCCGCACACGTCGTTCAGCAGTTTGCTTGCTCAATGTAAGAAAAGCTCAGAGGATAAAGCTGTTGGCGTTGATCAATCCCTGAGGGATGCGCCATGCATTCGTCTTCAATTTTCAACTTTTCTTGAAGTGATTGAATACATATCTGGCATTTACCGTGATTCGCAGTGGCCTCCCGCTGAAGTGGGTCAGTGCTGCTTCTCCTCCCAGACAAGCCTGAGACCTGTCTGGTATCAATTTATCGACCCTGGAGGGATGGATGGCTTGGTGAGCCATGAGCGCGAGATCAAACCACTGACCTCGTGCGCAACGCAGAGCGCTTCTATCCACTGCGCCACATGCACTCTTTCTCAAAGTACTGCTTTACTCAACGTAATACTTACCTGAAATGTACTTTCGGTCTTGGACGCCTCATTTTCGTCGTTCCGTCCTTATCCACAACAACATATTCTCTAGCCAGTCCAAAATCCAAAATGTGAATTAGTCGAGACTCTTCTGTGCTCGGAAAGCCAAGTGCCATATTTCCTGGCTTCACATCTCGATGTAGAAATCCTATCTAAGAAGAAGCAAAGTAGTGCTTTGCTGCAGATGTATTTTACATATTACTACATGATTTTTACAAGTGTCCAAGCAGGTAAGCGTATAAATAAAAGCAGATTTCAGATTTCTGCTAATAAAATGTTCATACATCATG